TCTAGTTTTATACCTTTGTGGTCTGAAAAGTTGGTTGGTAGAATTTCAATCTTTTGGAATTTACTGAGGCTCTCTTTGTGGCCTAGTATGTGGTCTATTCTGGAGAATGTTCCATGTGCACTTGAGAAGAATGTGTATCCTGTTGCTTTTGGATGTAGAGTTCTATAGATGTCTATTAGGTCCATCTGTTCTAGTGTGTTGTTCAGTGCCTGTGTGTCCTTATTTTCTGTCTTGTGGATCTGTCCTTTGGAGAGAGTGGTGTGTTAAAGTTTCCCAAAATGAATGCATTGCTTTCTATTTCCTCCTTTAATTCTGTTAGTATTTGTTTCACATATGCTGGTGCTCCTGTATTAGGTGCATATATGTTTATAATGGTTATATCCTCTTGTTGGACTGAGCCCTTTATCATTATGTAATGTCCTCCTTTATCTCTTGTTACTTTCTTTGTTTTAAAGTCTATTTTGTCTGATACTAATATTGCAACACCTGCTTTTTTCTCCCTGTTGTTTGCATGAAATATCTTTTTCTATCCCTTGACTTTTAATCTGTGTATGTCTTTGGGTTTGAGGTGAGTTTCTTGTAAGCAGCCTATAGATGGGTCTTGCTTTTTTATCCATTCTATTACCCTGTGTCTTATGATTGGTGCATTCAGTCCATTTACATTTAGGGTGATTATTGAAAGATATGTACTTACTGCCATTGCAGGCTTTAAGATTGTGGTTACCAAAGCTTCAAGGTTAGCTTCTTTACTATCTTACTGTCTAACTTAACTCACTTATTGAGCTATTGTAAACACTGTCTGATGATTCTTTATTTCTCTCCCTTCTTATTCCTCCTCCTCCATTCTTCATATGTTGGGTATTTTGTTCTGTGCTCTTTTTAGGAGTGTTCCCATCTAGAGCAGTCCCTCTAAGATACCCTGTAGAGGAGGTTTGTGGGAGGCACATTCCCTCAACTTTTGCTTGTCTGGGACTTGTTTAATCCCTCCTTCATATTTAAATGATAATCATGCTGGATACAGTATTTTTGGTTCAAGGCCCTTCTGTTTCATTGCATTAAATATATCATGCCATTCTCTTCTGGCCTGTAAGGTTTCTGTTGAGAAGTCTGATAATATCCTGATGGGTTTTCCTTTGGAGGTGACTTTTTTTTTTCTTTCTCGCTGCCTTTAATACTCTGTCCTTGTCTTTGATCTTTGCCATTTTAATTATGTGTCTTGTTGCCCTCCTTGAGTCACTTGTCCTGGGAGTTCTGTTTGTTTCTGTGGTCTGAGAGGCCATTTCCTCCCCTAGTTTGGGGAAGTTTTCAGCAATTATTTCTTCAAAGACACTTTCTATCCCTTTTCCTCTCTCTCTTCTTCTGGTACTCCTGTGATGCAAATATTGTTCCTTTTGGATTGGTCACACAGTTCTCTTAATATTCTTTCATTCCTGGAGATCCTTTTACCTCTCTCTGCATCAGCTTCTCTGTGTTCCTGTTCTCTGTTTTCTAGTCCATTAATTGTCTCTTGCATCTTGTCCATTCTGCTTTGAACTCCTTCCAGAGATTGTTTTATTTCTGTATTCTCCCTCCTTAGTTCTTGCATATTTCTCTGCAAGTCCATCAGCATGGTTATGACTTTTGTTTTGAATTCTTTTTCAGGAAGATTGGTTAAATCTACCTCCCCAGATTCCTTCTCAGGAGAGGATGGGGAAGGTGTCTGGGTTAGCCTGGTCTAGATCAAATTTTTTTGCCTTTTCATGTTGATAGATGCAGTGGTATGCTATTGACTCATCTGTCAGCTGGGAGAGCCAAGACCCTTTACACTTGCTCCTGGCCTTTCTTTACTGGGACAACGGTGACCTCTAGCGGCTTGTGTTGGGCACCTGGGCGTAGACTGGGTCTGTGTTTCTTGCCCAGCTGCTATGGAGGAAGCTCCCTTGCTGTGGGCATAGCCAGCCTTAGGCTGCTGCTCTGCAGTGGTGGGGTGCCGGAGGGGGAATGGACTGGGGGCTGTTTATTGCTGTGAGGGGTCTCAAAGCTGCTGCCCAGGGGGTTAGGGTGCCCGGAGTTCCCCGGGATTCCCAGCTGCTGGGCTAAGTGTTCTGGGATGCTTCCGTCCAGCGGTGGGGTCTGTGTCCCTTTAAGACTTTCAAAAAGCACTCGCTTTTCTTTGTCCCAGGGGCGCCGGCTGCAGGGACCTGCTCACAGGTCTTACTGTCCTGTTTCCCTAGTATCTAGCACCCCACGCAACACTGTGTCTGTGCTCTGGTGCGGATGGCTGGGGCTGGGTGTTTAGCAGTCCTGGGCTCACTCTCCCTCCCCACTCTGACTCCTCTCCTCCTGCCAGGAGCTGGGGTGAGGGGCACTCGGGTCCCACCAGGCTGGGGCTTGTATCTTACCCCCTTCGCCAGGCGCTGGGTTCTCGTGGGTTTGGATGTAGTCTGGCTGTTGTCCTGTATCTTCTGGTCTCTCTATTAAGCATAGTTGTATTTGTTGTATTTTCAAAAATACATATGTTTTTGGGAGGAGATTCCCACTGTCCTACTCATGCTGCCATCTTGCCTCGAAGATTACAGATCTTTATGCACGTCCTCCCAAATGGTAAATGTTGGCAACAAATTCAGAATTTTTACAAGCATTATGGGAGCCAAACATAGTAACAACACATTCTGTAGGCTGTTTACAGTCTGTGAGCCACCACTTTACAACTTTCTGATACATAAGTGTACAAACAAAAATACGCGATGGTATGTACAATCTGATAGGTCCTGCTTAAGACATACTGAAGGTCCTCTTTGTGCATCTAAAAAGGTAGAAAGAGTGCAAGGGAAATATCTCTGCCTAATAACAAAGTAATCAGGTAACTGAATAAAAACTTATTTTTAAAAGTGTATCTGTGCACAAGCTAATGAAGTAATCTGAGAAACATCAATAATTAAAGAAATGGAAAAAGAGACTTTATTACCATTTTGTAACAGAACTCTTTGCATTCTATGGTTTAAATTTCATGTTTTCTAACTGTGAGTATTGTTAGAAAATGATCTCAATCAACATCTTAGTTTAAATAGGAACTAGAAACTTTGGCTCATTATTCATGAAATGTTCTTTTTATGTGACACAACTATTCAGTCTAACTGAATCTTCATTAAATGGACTTTTTCCTCATTATATATTCAGCATTCTCTTTCTCTTTTTATAATTTGGGGGTTCTAAAAGCTCAGTATAATATGAAAACTCAATCAGATTTTATTGAGTAAAAATTAATAAAGGAGAAGAGACTTAGTAAAACATTTTAATTATTTCAGTCAGTGACAAAAGGTAGTGATTCTTTGATGTGATGTGGGATTTATATAAAGCTGTTAGATTTATAGTTTGCCTTATCATTTTAATCCATTAAAATAACCTCTTAATTATGCTTTTAACATCCCAATAGAGAACTAAATAATTGTAATTGCTTGATTAAAAGCAGTTTTTTAAAAATATGGCTAAAAGAAGTCATGAAATACTCCAGGAAATTGATATGAAACACTCCAAAGAAATGTTTTCAGCCAAATTCATTTAAAGAATATAGGCAACTTTAAATTAGGGCTAGACTGAATTCTAACTACACATTATAAGATTTTTAAAAAAATATTTCTTAACAGTCTGAGTAAGGAGTAAATAATTTTCTAAAGGAGGATAAACACTATTGTAGAGAATCAAAACACAAACCATGTATTACTAGTGACCTTGCATATTTCTCTTCTTCGATCTATTATATTCATCATAACTTTAATTCTCAAAATACATGCTTATTTCACAATTTCTAAATTGGGGGATGTTGGGAGGAGGGTGGGGATTCACTGTTACATTGATGTGCTGCATACAAATTGTTAGATTGCATAAGGGCCACATTGTTTTTGTTTTTTATTTTCCATATACTTTTACAGCTAGAATGACCTTACTAATTCTGTGACTTATATTCTTCTACAGATAAGAAAACACAGCCTCACAGATATTTTTTTACAAAGTTCCATAGCTAATTACTGACAGAACATAGCTGGCATTCATATCCTTTAATTCCAAATATGATCTATTTTATATTATTTCTTTATTTTCTCCAAAAACAGACATCTTTTTTTTTCTCATCTTTAATAACACTGCTTTGTTTACACCTGGGAGCCACAAGTTTCTGAAACTCTCTTCTTAACAGCAAATGCTCTTTGGAGAAATAACAATTTCCAGTCGATTTGATCATTTATAAAAGACATTTTTCCTATTTGACAGTGAGCTTTCTTTCATTTTTCAGCTAGCTTTTTAACTACCTCCTCAACTTTCTTATTAGTAATCTCTGTTTCTATGTATATTCACCTTTGTTCTTTATTATATTGTGCTCTAAAAGATAGTCCTTAAATTCATTCAATCAGTGACATTCAGTTCATTCAAAAGATAGTATCTTTCATTCATTTAAAGTCTAAAGGAATACTGCTAAGTTATGTAGCACCAAACATGGTGCCATGAGATCAACATCTTCAAGTTTTAAGATTCTCTAGAGTTTTCATGCGTCATTAGATTTTAGCCTAATATTATGGGACAACAAATACATAGATCTCTCTTGAAAATAATAAAACTGTCAACTTTTTGGATCAGAAAGAGTATTCTTTTTGTTTATTCTGTAACAGTTTTGTAATTTAAAAGAATAGGTCTATAAACAGTTATTTTCTTATACCTCATATTATTTTTTTAATTAAAGGCAAGTGGTCAAACTCTAACAATCAAAAAACTTCATTTAGAAGGAAAAAAGACTAATGAGTCAAAGAAAGGCAAGAAAGTAACTTCAATAGTGGATACTGAACATGACGACTCGGCATCTACAAGTAGTTCACTGAAAAGGGGAAGCAAAGACCCAAGAAAAAGAAAAATAGAGGGAAAAATTCTGGTAAGTTGTCAAAACAACAGTTTTACTTCTCTTAAGAAACTGAAACGACATGACACTAAGGACCTCACACATTGCAGGTATTATTTCTGTTCCCCTGAACTATATATTCATAACATGCCATTGTATTTGTTTAGAAACATTAAACCATATTAAAGATTACTTTTTGACAGTTTGTGTTAGTAGGAATTTTCCTATGTAATGTAAACTCTGAACTGTAAGTAAATGTATTCTTTCATCTTTCTTTATGAATTAATTTGCATTGTCTTTACTTGAAAGAGAATGAAAGCTAAACTTTTACTAAAGATACATAACTCTCAAGCATGGATGTTGATTTCAAACATTATTTTCCCTAGGATGATCCTTACGGACATGGCAACTTGCCTCAGCAGAGAGCCGAGAAAAGGAGAAATGGAGGAAAACACCTCTGGTGACTTGTCAAAACATCCAAGTTTTACTTCTCTTAAGAAACCCTAACAAGAGGACTGTAAGGACCCGGATCTGTACCTGGACATGACTCTTTTCCGGTATTATTTCTGTTCCCCTGTCCTATATGTTCATAACATCCCATTCTATTTGTTTAGAAAGCTTCCACCTTACTAAAGGTGACTTTGGACAGTTTGTGTTCGTAGGAATTTTCCTATGTAATGTAAACTCTGAACAGTAAGAAAGTGTATTCTTTGATCTTTTTTTATGTATTAATTTGCATTGTCTTTACCTGAAGGAGAACGAAAGCTAAACTTTTACTAAAGATACATAACTCTAAGGCATGGATATTGATTTCAAACATTATTATCCCTAGGATGATCCTTATGGACATGGCAACTCACCTCAGCACAGACCCTGGAAAAGGAGAAATGGAGGAAAACACGTCTGGTGACTTGTCAAAACAACCAAGTTTTACTTAAGAAACACAAATGAGATGACTCTAAGAACCTGACTCTTTGCAGGTATTATTTCTGTTCCCTTGTCCTATATCTTCATAACATCCCATTGTATTTGTTTAGAAAACTTCCACCATACAAAAGGTGACTTTTTGACAGTTGGTGTAAATAGGAATTTTCCTATGTAATGTAAACTCTGTACTATAAGTAAATGTAGTCTTTCATCTTTTTTTATGACTTAATTTGCATTGTCTTTACTTGAAGAGTATGAATGCTAAACTTTTACATAAAGATAGATAACTATAGCATGAATATTGATTTCAAATTTTTTTGAATATTTATTTTCTCTAGTATGATCCTTACTGAAATGGAAACTCATGAGGATGCATGGCCTTTTCTACTTCCTGTATACTTGAAATTTGTTCCTGGTTATAAGAAAGTTACTAAGAAGCCTATGAATTTTTCCACGATTAGAGAGAAATTAATTATTGGACAGTAAGTAAATCATTTCAGTTCAGTGTTTATTGAATGTGTGTTATGTGCTCAGTAGTCTTATAGTGAGTTTGGAATACATTAATTAAAGGCCCTGCCTTTAGAGACAGGATATATATGTGCTTCGGTAGTAGGATACAGAAGACAAGTCAATTCAAATTATTTCAGTAATTAGAAATAGTGTAACAAAGCTGTTTTGACATTGGTAGGCCACCAAACCTAGCCTTAGAGTTAAGGAAAAGTATCAGGGAAGCCTCCCCAAGTGACTAAGTTACATGTAAGCCGGAGGTTATATTGTGCATCAGTGGCATATCAATACCATTTCATGTGGATTCAACAAAAATTGATTTCATAATATTTTCAGATTATTATAAGATGGATCATTGGAAATTTTAAATAATGAAAGCTTTACACTGAATTGTAGATCACAAAAAAGGCATTTGTTAAAAGTAGAAAACTATTATTTGCTCCTCTCTACCATATCGTCTTTGTGATCCTCTCCGAAGAGTAAATTGGCTTCCTGGTAGCAGTTAATGATTTTTGTTAAAACCTCTTCAACCGCCTGCCAGGGAGTGACCACTGTCAGTGGGCTTTAGTTGGTTCCGGATACTGGACTCTTGTGGAACCACAGGAAGGAATGAGGCTGTTTACGGAACAAACCCACATAAAGCATTGCATGTGAGAATGGCCAGGAGCCGTAGAGCTGCATGGGCCCTTTACTCCATTCTCCCCACTCCCTTTCTTCCTATATACTGCTTTTGGTTAATGTAGCCTGTGCCCATAACTGCAGGCAAATTCACCAGCAATTATGGAGAAAAAAAGAACTTTACATGAAAAATAGCCAAAAAATATATTTAAATTACATTCTTACTGTTTTTTTTTTTAAAAGCATTATTTAACAGTGTATTATTTGATCCCTCCTGGATATTCCTTGGGAGAAAATGACCATGTTCTATAATTTATATTCAATTTAGAAGTGTTGAGTAGAACTTAACTCATTGATGACCAACATTCTTCTCATATGTATCAAAGGATTTAAGAAATTGACCAAATGACTAATTTATTTGTTTGTAGGCTGAAATGCCAGTCTTTCAAAAGATTCTATTTACCTTTTAAAAAATTAAAATTCAGAAAACATTTAAGACTGTTAAAATATTGGTTCTAATGTGAACCAAACAGCAGAAGCTGGTGTCTAGATAGGAACTAGTTCTTTTGCTTTTTTTATCAAAATACTCAGATGTTTAGGTGGGTAGCACATGGCCAGGACAGACTTACACAGGAAGACTTTACCAGTGTTTAAATCAACTCTTGACTTTATCTTCTGTGATTCTCCAGTCCCTAGGTGGAGGATGAACTTCAGCCTCAAAATCCCCAAAACACACAGGCTGAGACATTAAAACAGAGCTTAGACATTACCAAAAATTGGAGCTCCCTTTTGAGAATGAGTCCTGGTGAACGGAGGAGGAACATAGCAGAGGGAGGTAGGTGGAGGGGAGCAGTTCTGTATGATCTGGCATCGGAGGCAAAATTCAGTGGATTCAAGCTCCTCTAACTTCAAGTTGTTTAATTAAGCCCAAACTAATGAGCTGGAAACAAAACTCACAACAATATTTCAAATATTTAAATCAGAAATTTATAGAACAGAGGGGAGGGGGTGCCTAGTTTAATGAGTCTGGGTTCCATCAGCTGCCCTGTCCTGTGAAGGGATGGCAGAGATATGAGCACTGCACTCGCCGCACCTAGAATATCACCGAGAATTCTTTCCTGGATTCCAGTCTCCCTGACGTTAATCATTAACCTTTTCTTGTAGAAAGGAAGAGTCTCAAGAGAGAAATATTTCTCAAAGTAACATTAAAATATTTTATAAAAACTATTCTCATATGTTGTATGATTCTATTTTTATGAAATACCCAGAATAGATAGATCCATAGAGACAGAAAAACAGGTTAGTTGTTTCCGGGGACTGGGATAGGGAGGAATGGAGAGTAACTGTTTAATGGGTTGGGTATGAGGTTTCACTTTAGGGTAATGACAATGTTTTGAAACTAAATAGAGGTGGTGGTAGTGTAATGTTTGGAATGTACTAAGTGCCACTGAATTATCTACCTTAAAATGGCCAATTCTATGTTATGTGAATTTCACCTGACTAAATATAATAATTCCCAGAAGAATAGGAAAATGGGTAAGGTTACATAAGTACTGACTTAATTCTCTTATTATTGCATATATAATAATGAGAGAATGAAAAAGACTATACAAGGTATTTGATGAAAGAAATAATTCCACTTTTACCAGGTCTCAGAGCTTCAGTGTGCACTTCATAGGTATTTCTAAAAGGTAAATTAGTGTTCAGCTTATCATACATCATATATTAGAATTAATTTAAATTTGGATATTCAAAAGCCCTCCTTCAGAATGTATTGAGTTTGCTTGAAACAAGGCAGTCCTTTTTTACCAAAAAGTTGAGGCAGGTGCATTCACCATTCTGTCTTCTCTGTGCTCTTACAGAGAAAGAGAATCAGCTTTATGGCACCAAAAAAGCACAGACGCCACAGTGCTTCCAGTGGAAGGGCAGATCCTCATGGTGTTTCTCTGTTAAGGGATAACACGTGCGGTTTTGTTGTTGGGATCATAATAATCCATTGCTTGAGAAAAGAGCACGGTTGAAAAGAGAAGAGAAAGAGGAAATGGGGAAGATTTAACACAGAGTGGCATGTCCTGGGATGTATGTGAAGGCTCCAGGGCAGCTGTAATGTGTATCGTGCATAGGAGGCATTGACATTATTTCTAATGAAACTAAGTTGTTTTGAATGTGGGTCATAGGGTACTACAAGTGCTACAATTGGTCAGAAAAGTTAAACTAGTCAAGTGGGATGAGTCCTGGGATGGAATTGTGATTCAAGTCAAACCGGAAATTGGATGGGGGGAGAAATGCTAGTTAGTTGAAATATATCTTGATCTTCTGAGAAATCTGTTTTTCCATTTAACCTGTCTATATCCTTTATAGTCCAGAACACATGGAAGTTTTAAAATGTTCCATTTGTAAGAGGATATAAGGTGTTTTATTTCTGCTTAAATGCAATTATCTTTTTTTTCTCTTACCTTTTCAGTTTTACTTTTTATTTTACCTTTTATTATCATTTCATTTGTTTACAAAACAAAGCCACCCTACAAAAGAACCTCTAAATCATGTGTTTTCTTTCAGGTATCCAAACCTGGAAGCCTTTGCTGTCGATGTCAGGCTTGTTTTTGACAACTGTGAAGCATTTAATCAAGATGATTCTGATACAGGCAGAGCTGGCCACAGTATGAGGAAGTATTTTGAGAAAAAGTGGACAGATACTCTCAAAGTGAGCTGAAGCTACAATAATCTCTTTTTTCCTTTTCAATAAGGACGAATAAGACCAGCAATGTCAACTATATTTTACATAAATGTGCAAGGCACATGCATAATGACTTTTTTTCCTTAGTAAAAGTATCACACACAAAAACAGTATCAGAAGAATGATACCATTTTTAAAGGCTTCACTCCTACAACAACCAAGGCCCTTGGTTATTGGTTTGTGTGATTTATCAGCTAATTTAGGTAGAACAGGGAAGCACACCCGAAGAATTTTCAAAGGTAAGGGTGTTACAGAGTAACAGCAATTAAAATATATCAAATCGCACTGAACATTCAACACCAGAGCTCTAATGTGGGAGATGGTTCTCCTTTCCCTCTCAATAAATATCTACTTTTCCTTTTTTTTACTTTGTAGTTTATTTTTTAATGAATATATTTAATTTTATGAATTACTTATGATTAAACCACATCCAGAATCTTCATTTTCTGTGAAAAGAACTAGAAAATTGCTTTAAATCTTGAAAATACAATAAATGTTTTAAAATATAAAACAAAGCCAAGTTAAACTGTTTGCACTGATGTGCTATAAAAGCATAAAAGCACCAAAAATAAACTTTACTGTAGAGTTACATTTATATATATGTGTGTGTGTATATATATATGTTGCTGCATCACTTGTGTAGTTAAATTATATTTCAAGACAGTGAAGAAAAATTGACGTGTATATACTGTTCATTATTTTTATTCTGAGTCTTGTTTTAAATATGTATTATGTGTATGTATTGTTTGGAGACATTATTTATGCCTTAGAAGGATTGTAGCATTTTATTTTAGTCTGCAGGTAATTATAGCTATACAGCTTGTACAGTAATTTCCTCTGCCAACACTGTGGCATCTCCTTGATCTTGGTAGTGCCTGACTTTGAAACAGGGTGTAGGGGATATTAGTTTTCCATTTTTCTATTTTGTTACATAATTTTAAGCCACCAAGGCCTAAAGTATAATCATTTGTGTCCATGTGGAATAAAATTGTGACAATTTCCTACACACACAGTATTTTTTCATAGAAACATTTCCCTCCCTTTTGCCTGGCCTCAGAAATAAATTTAAAAGACATTTGTAGCCACTGTGTTTTATCTACTGTGTGTTGTGGTGGCCTGATGGAGGCAGATAGAATTTTTTTTTGTACCTATGTAAGAATATTGGAAGTTTTATTTAAAATAAAATGATGTGCAAAAGGTAGCTTTGTTTTTTTTAGGAGTATTACTTTTCACTACTGTGTGTGGCAAGGATACAATAGAAGACTTTTACAAACTAGTTTTTAGTTTTTCTTAATGAACCTGAAAATTTATTCTTTTCAGAAAGACAGTTCATTTAAATTTGATTTTTACAAAATCATAAAGGAGGAGCAGCAGAATGTGGTTCAAAGAACATTGGGCTGGGTGAAGGAGGGTGGTTTTTAGTCAAATGATGTGACTTTCATGACTGTCTGAACCTCTCTGGACCACATTTTATTGTTAATTTCACATTTTTCAATAAGAAAATATTAGAAAACACTTTTAAAGATTTTTAATATAATTTTAAGAACACATATTATTCTGATACGAGAAGTGTTTTCTAATGGTGGATATATAGCCCAGTAAGAAAAACTGATCACATAGATTAGTCTAATAAGTCATGAGATACAAATCAAAGCATTCATGAAAGATGATTTGACACCTTGCTGGGCTCTGAGGAATCACTGGTCAACAGCACAGGCACAGGCCCTGCTTTACAGAGCTCACAGCCTCGTGGGGAAATGGTCCCTAAACAATGTCCTTAGAGAGTGGATTTTTTAATAGTGAGGGAAGAAAAGAGAACTGAAGAAAATATTCCCCAAATCCCTAGATTGTTTATGAAGATTTAAGAGTAGCTGTTATTATGTAAATATGTCAGTTTCTCTTAACCAAATTTTGCAGTGATGCCCTAAGTGGCTGGTGCTTAATCAAAATACCATGAGGAACAGGGAACAAAGTCGTGCTCTGTATAAAGTATCTGTTTTTTGTGTTTATAGAACTGCCAAAATACACCATAGGGAGTCTTCTGCATGGGGTGTTTTTGCCTTAGGAATGAAATACACATTAATTTTTATTAAAAGTGCATAAGCAGCTTGATAAAATGTCTGGTATCTGGGGGTCTCATCAACAAGAAATAAAATGGTTAAACACACACAAAGAACAGTCTTTCAAGAATGATCATTTTCTTTTAAACAAATACAATATCCCTGAAAAAAGGAAAGCTTGGTGTGCATATTGGCTACTTTGGGCTGGTGTTTTCATCACTGGTGGTACATACTCAGCAGGAGCAGCTGTGTAGGAAGTAGTGGGCATGGTATGAAAATGGCAGTTGGTCCAGTAATAATTGTCACTGTACATGTGTGTATCATTTGTTCTGTGACTGACTTGCACTCGAGGTGCCCTAGGTTGAGTATATCCTCAAACCCCTATCACGGTTCTCAAATAACAAGTTTTCCTAACCCTCTGCTTCCACACAAGTATACACAACATACTTTCATTCAGATAAATGAGGCTTTAACCTTAACCATCATCATTTTAGCCCTGATTGCTCTGTAAGTTATAGAACCCTGACCTACCCTCAAGTTTATATTCCGATTGCCATTCAAGTGGTGATCAATGAATGATAACCAATGAGTGCTCTACTGTTAAACCCAGGATATCATCAATTTGAAATAATATGTAGAGAAAAAAGTAATATTTATTTAGTTGTTAACCATAGTGAAAGTCAAGTGAAATTTATCTATGGGTATGGGGATATCTTGAACTCAGAAGAATTAAGTTATCATAAATGCACAATGATCTCTTTTCCTTGTTTCAACCTCAAAATGAAATTTGTTAAAAGCACTAATTTTAAAATGAGGGAATCTAATCTGCCTTTGGTACATTAATCACCCCCTCTGTGCTCTTTTTTTCCATTCCTTCCACCCCCAATACCTTTTCAAAAAATTTTAAATTCTATTAAACACATCCTCAACAAGGAAATCTGATATCAATCATTTACTCCTTATTGTAAGTTTTATTTGTGGGCTTCTTTCAACGTTATTTATATCTTAAGTATTTCCATTTAAGAAATGAAAGAAGTTTCTGTTGTTAAAATAATTTATTTTCAACTAGAAGTTAAGGGAGGTATTTTAAGAGAATCAAAATTTCCAGAGAAATATGACTGTCATACAACACAGGGAAACTAGTATTTCCCTCATTTGTGGAGTATAACAATGAAGCAAAACTGAAGGAACAAAATAGCAGCAGACTCAGAGATGCCAAGAAGAAACTAGTGGTTACCAAAGGGAGGGGTGGGGAGGGAGGGAGAAGGGGATCGAGGGGTATTATGTTCAGTGCACATGGTGTAGGGGGTCCCGGGGAGAACAGTGTAGCACAGAGAAGGCAAATAGTGAATCTGTGGCATCTTAGTACACTAATGGACAGTGACTGCATTGGGGTATGGGTGGGGACTTGATATGAGTGAATGTAGTAACCACATTGTGTTTTCATTTGAAACCTTTATGAGTATATCAATAACCTTAATAAAAAATTTTAAAAATATAGTGTGAAAAATATATGTACATGCAATGTTTTTAGACTTATCAGTTGCATTATACTATAAACCTCATTCTGTTTTTGTTTCAAGTTGAAAAAAATATATAAATCTTAGTTAATGACTTTGATGCTGCAAGGTACTCCATCACAGGGATATATCACATGTAACATCCAGGTTTCTCTAGGAATGCAAACTTAAGTTGCCTGCAGCTCCTTGTCACTGCAATGACTTGTCATACATGTCATATGCAGACTCATGGGTAGAAGCCAGTTTCCAAAATGGTCCCAAATGATTCTCACCTTCTGGTATTCATGCCCTGGTGTAATCCTTTTCCACACTATCACGGTTAGCCTGGGTGACCAGCATAATATGGCAGAGTGACGGCGGGTAAATTCCCAGACGAGGTCATAAAATGTGCTGTTGCCTCTACCTTGTTCTCCTGGATCACTTGGCTCTGAGTAAAACCAACTACGGACAACCAAGAACTGCACCAACTTGGAAGCCATGTGACTGGCATTTTAGAAGTGGATCCTTCAGCCCAAGTCAGGCATTCGTTCTGCAGCCCCAGACAACATCTGGACTGCAACTTGCTGAGTGGTCCTAAGCCAGACAACCCAGAAAAGCTCCTCCTAAGGTTTATTTTCTGTTTTTCAGTATAATTGACATGCAATCTCCAATGACACGCATATCTCAGAGATATTGCCAGTTCAGTTCCACACCACCACAATAAAGTATCTCAACCAAGAAAGTCAAATGGATTTTTTCGTTTCCCAGTGCATATAAAAGTTACCTTCACACTATACTATAGTCTCTAAAGTGTGTAATAGCATTATGTCTGAAAGCCTATGTACATAACTTCAAAATACTTTATTGCTAAAAAACGCTAGCCATCTGTTTCAGTCAGTTCTGATCACAGATAACCATAACAAACAATAATAATTTAAAAGTGTGAAATACCATGAGAATTACCAAAATGGGACACAAACATGAAGTGAGCAAATACTGTTGGAAAAATGGTGCCAACAGACTTGCTCAACTCAGGATTGCCACAAAACTTCAATGTGTGAAAAACACAGTACCTGCAAAGTGTGGTAAAACAAGGTGTGCCCATAGTTTAGGGTATATATCATAATTTTATATATTACGAAGTGATCTCCAAATGTTTAGTTACCATCTGTCACCATACGAAGTTATTACAATATTACTGAGCATATTCCCTATGCTGTACCTTACATCCTCATGACTTACATATATTTTGTAACTGGAAGTTACCTCTTAATCCCTATCACCTGTTTCACCTACTACTGACTGCTCCCTGCACTGGTAACCAACAGTTTGTTCCTTATCTATGAATCTGTTTTGTTTTTCATTTGTATTGTTTTTTAGTTTCCACATATAAGTGAAATATGGTAATTTGTCTGTCTCTGATTTATTTCACTTATCATAGTATCTGCTAGGTCCATCCATGTTGTCACAAATGGCAAGGTTCCATTCATTTTTATTAGTGAGTAATCCTTTGTGTAAATTTATCTTCTTTATCCATTTAGCTACTGATGGATAATTAGGTGGCTTCCATATCTTGGCTATTGTAAATAATGCTACAGTGAACATAGGGGTGCATATCTCTTTGAATTGGTATTTTGGATTTTTAAGTTTTTGAGGGGCTTCCATATTGTTTTCCTTAGTGGCTGCACTAATTTACATTCCCACCAACAGTGTACGAGGGTCAGGTGGTATCTAATTGTGGTTTGGATTTGCATGTTCCTGATGATTAGTGATATTGAGCATCTTTTCATGTGCCTGTTGGCCATC